AGCATAACAATGAAAATGTATCCCATGCTATTTAATAACTTTAAAACTAAATCAGTTGTACATTTACTGATTGCTGTTTGGAAGTTTCTTTGCAATCTGTCCAGTTGTTCATGAGAAACTGGACATCTACATCTAACTTCTTACTACTTTTTACATTTTTTTGAGTCAGTCCATTTACAGATAGAACTATTAACTTAGAATCTGGTGTGGTAGTTGCTGAAAGTCATATCAAACACATACTGCAAGCACTTTGCATTATGCAACATCCTTGCTTAAAAGTTTGGCCCTAACAAAGTACTCAGAGAGGGGTGACTGTGGTTGTTTAAGAACAAAAAGGATGCTTCCAGTTCACATACGTAGGGTTAAAATTATAAAGACTATATATTTTAAGGTGCAGTAGGCACTCAGTTGCCATATTTTTACGCTTCTGGTTCAAAATACAGAATAGAAAATCCTTTTCCTGCACAGCTTGAAATAACAATACAAGACAAGCGAACAGGCTGGAGGTCTGCTTGAGGAAATTTATAATTCATGTCATAATAAGTCCAGCTTCATGTCAGAGTAGAAATGATGAAAAATGTCAAAGTGAGGCCTAGCAGATATTTTAGGGTGCATTGAGTGCTTGGATTTGACACATTTACAGAATAAATCATTTAGCTGCAGCAGTTCTGTGGCTGCTGCACATTTGATACCCCGTCCCAAAATTGTCCTTGTCTTGTGTCACAACTCAGAGCAAACAGCATCAACGTTAAACTCTAACTCGTAAAGTGTAAGTCAGGTCCTCTGGACGGATTCTTTTTTGTTGAAACGTTTCGTCTTTAACCCCTTAAGGTTTATCCTAAGAGTTATGTAGAGTTTAAATGACGCTGGATGAGTCTACTGCATTTAAGATCATTAATTTAAGAAGGTGCTAGGGTTAAATATACTTTAAATATTTCATTCAAGAGCAATAAAAGTCAAAATAAGAGGCATTTCCTGTTGGGAATAGTAAGATTCCTTATCTTCCATATAATGATCATATTGAATTATATGCTAATTAAAACAGAGCAATGACTCGTCCTATAATCCGTCCTGATGAACTGTAACACAGCTGCAACAAACATTTAATTCTGGTTTAAATCTTCCTGTAAGACCTGTCAAAACTTGCTGATTTTTGTAAGCAACACTTTGAATTGCTCTACATTTGATCAAAAGCACAACTTTCAACACAACAATAGGCCTTCGCAGCGCTTAGCTGCTCGGGCCTAATTATCTGCGTTTCCCTGCAAACCGACATGTTCTGATTCTTCCTCATTTGGCTGAGTCATGAATTTCCTCTGCTGGCCAGAGGCGACACTTTTCAGAATTGTCTCAACACTTTAAACCGAGTTCCTCTTTTTTTTTTTTTTTTCTTTTCTTAACCGTACAGAAAATAAAGCAGTTTGTTTATGGCTCATCAATTTTTCATTTGCAAGATTCACCGAGTGACAGAGAGTGCTGCATATTTTTATTGTTAATGCTTCCCTGCCCATCTTCTCACTAAATGTTGTATACACGGCATCTGCCAGAAAACGACAGCGATAAAGTGGCCCGTGTGGTGACCCGTACGAGCAATACGCCTCGCTGAATTGAGCTGTGCATTGGAATGGGGATCTGTAAGTGAATGTGACTTGCCCATTGGTGGTGGTGGTGGGGAGGTGGAAACAGGTGCTGGCACTGCGAGCTTGTTAACACTGGGGAGAGAATTAATTCCTCCAACAGAATGTGGCGCATATGCAACACATAGCCTCTGGCTGTGGGGCGTCCTGTAGGTCTTTGCATGCATGTCGTAGAAAAGGAAGTGTTTTTAGTTTGCATGCACATCTTGAATGAGATATTTTTGGATAAAAAATGGCGAGAACGGATGATTCAAGCTCTTGTTGCACAAAATTGGGTGTCGGCATCCTTGGAGTTGTAGAGTGTCTGCTCAAAACCAGCATATTTTATAAGATCCACTTGTTTGATCATACTTTTAATTTTTAACATGCATTTTATTTTGTGAACATTGTCCAAGCCATGTTCAGCTTCAGAAGATATTTTTATGTGAAACAGCTCAAGCATTGAGAAGAAACAAAAAACCCAAACGTCACAAATTAGGCCTCCGATGACCCATTTCTAGAAGAAATAAATTGACACAATGAATTATTCCATCTATCTGGCCTCTATAACGAGAGAAGGACTTGGAAATTAGGACATTCAATTTTCGCGACTGTCTTCTGTTCGTTCAGAGTCGTTTAGGCAGATTTGCCACATTCGTCCAATTTGTTGTATGATTTCTTACCCCCTTACTGGAAGGATGGGAAAATGGGAGATAAAATTGATGTAAATGTGGAGAAATTGACTGCCATACTTTGAATATAATAAAGGATCCTGTGTTAGAATTTGTTTAACTCTGGCATAGTTGAGGGGAATTTGAGACACTTGTGGCTGTTTGTTTTAAACAGATGATAAATGTTCTGGCAATAAAGTAAAACAATAAAAAGAACAGAAAGTTGTTTAGAACAGGAGAAAAGCTGTGGTCAAAAGAAAGAGAGGCGGCAGTGAAGGAAAAACGGAACTAAATGCAGCAAAACAGCTATTTGAATGAAAAAAACTATTAAAGAAAAGTCAATAAAAAGCTGATATATATATATATATATATATATATATATATATATA